TTTATCTTGTTTCTCGATTTCTCTCAGTTCTCAGTTCTGAAACATATTGTTTTTAGTGAACAATAATGTTGAAACTCAATGATGCATATATTATATATTCATCACTATAATAACCTCGTACTTTTTATGATGAAAATGCTCGGTAACGTGATAAATATAAATAAGGGGTTACGAGCGCGATGGTATCGCGCGATGTGTAAGATTATCCTAAATTAAACTGTACGTTTTGCACGGTAGTTTTGCAGTTTAATTACTGTTATAACATCATTTCTTTTTGTCATTGAATATTTCTAATATGTCAATTTTTCGTGAGTGTCAGTTAATAATTTGGTTCGTGAACGATATATGTAATCTATTATTATTTATTTCAATGAAATGTAATATTTATTAAGATTAATTTTGTTTTATATTAAATCATTTATCCGATTGCTATATTATCATTGCTATAACGAACATTACATTAGATTACATTACAAAATCTTTATTGAACTATTGAAAATACAGAATATTCATTTCCTAGTATAAAAGAAATGAAAGGATAAACATAAAATAAAACGTTTTTGTTAAATTTCAAGCTTTATTTTCGAGAAAATTAGAAAAATTATTTTTTGTTTAATATAATAATAGCAAACTTGAGAATCCAAATTATATTTCAAATAGTATAGTATAGTATATAGATTGATCTATTTTTATTTTATTATTAACGAATTCCATTGATGATATTTAAATAATTATATATTTTAATTAATATATTTTAATATTTATATAATTAGATATTAATATTTTAAATACATAAACTATATTTATATGATAAAACAAATTTGCCATTGATTGTTCTTCATTGTAAATGCAATAATAACTATGTTTATTATGCTTACAATAGCAATTTAATTAGATATTGTCGTTTGTTGGAAAAAATAGAATATTTTCTCATGGTTGACATAAAAATAATTCTGATTGATTGAATCGTTTATTTATTTCTCATCAATATACAGTATTGTAGAAATAACGCAAAAGAAGATAAATTTACATATAAAATATAAAATTAAACAAAAATGTGAAATATAAATCAATGTTGACAATTTGTTAAATGGATTTGCATACAACTTCATCTATGCGTATAACAATAAAAAAGTATTCTATGTTATTTATTTTTGAAATAATTTTCACTTATTATTATATTTATTTTTTTCTTATTTTTTAAATTATTAAATTTTTTTATTTATTATTAAATTATAAAATTTTTTTATTTATTAAATTATTGCATATGCAATATCGTATTTTCAATTAAAATTTTAACCTTGTATAAGATATTTTATAGATCTAAGTTTAATTATAACTTTTAAGCATTAAGTTCTTAAAAATAAAATTTTACAGGATAAAATCGAATGATTTTAAATGATGTATCACTTACTATATGTATTTTATGCAGAAAAAAAAATCGATAAAATGGATTTAATCATTTTTTTTTTTTTAAATAAAACGATATATATTTTTTTATATCAATTAAAAAAAAATCATTTTATTCTCCTTACTTTATAGAAAAATATGAATATTTATTAATCATTTTGATTAATTTAAAAGATATTAATTATATGAAAACATAAACTATTATAAATTACAAAAACTATTATAAAACATAACTATTATATGAAAACATATAACTATTTTTTTTCTTTTCTTTGTCCTTCATGAGCTAAATTTTGCAAATATAAAATTAAACAATCTTTTAAACTAAATTTTAACTAATTTTCAACACAACTTTTTTTTACATTTTTGTAGAGAATAATAAATTAATATTAATATATAAAAAATGTATGGTATCATTAAAAAAAATAGATTGAATCTTCAAATCATAATTTAATAAATTACGTTCTTACAATTTGTCATAATATTTTGTATACATATTTCATAATAAAAGATTTTTTATTCTACATTCAAAATTTCTCCATTCATTTCTGCAATTTTATTCTTATGATATAGCACTTTACATATTACAAGATGTTTATTGATGTACAGAATGTACAGAATTTGCTACCATTACTCTGTATGTTAGATATCACGAGATTGGTGTCCTAAGCATTAGCTAATCCAACAATCTAAACGTTAAATTCATTCTACATCTATTGTATCGATGTCTAATCTAATTGCATTGAATTTTGATGTTAGACCTCTTATTATTGTTATAAAATATATAATGAAGAATTTTTAGAAAAATCTTAAAAATGAATATATCTTATATTAGTATTGTCTTTCTGTTTCTGTGAATGCAATAATTTATTTCTAAATGGAATCATTTTCTTTATTTTTATCAATTTATTATAACAATCTATGTGAAAAAATATTAAAATATAATATTAAAGAATCAACGATTTGTAAGATATTTCAACTTTCTAATGAAGAAGGTTTTCAAATTTTCCATCAATATTGTGAAAAAGTATTTCATAATTCGTTTCTTTATGTTTTCTGTAACATAATTAAAGTCATTATTTATATTATTATAAAGAAATTCTTTCTTATTACATTTAAGATAATATATTATTGTTATTATTAAGATATTATTATATATTTTCAGCATCCAAAAAATTTTTATTTTATAATAAAATAAGAAAATATATTTACATTTTGTACATTTTATATTTTTGTAACAAATTCTGTGTAAAATAAATATGAATATGATATTAATTTGTTTGTAATAGAATTAGCATTCACTATAAATTTATACAATATTTGACATTTCTTAAGTGTTTATATTAGTATCGACGAAATGCAACTTATAAGGAATATGAAATGTTTATAAATCTGATTTTTTGTATATTTTACTCTAATATAAATTTTTTCACGATAGATTGTTTGTAAGAATTATTGCAAATCGACCTACAGTAAAAAAAATATATAATTTCATTTAGAAAAAGTGCATTTGCATTTTTTAAATAAATCGTTGCATATAAAAAAAAGTAAATTTATAAAAAAATAATTCTTCTAATAAATCGTATTAAATCCTCCTACTATTTAGTATTTAGTTTGTTTCTTAAAAATTTTATATTACTTACCGAATGTCTTACTTTCAAAATATAATCCATCTCGATTGCGAAAATTATCTTGGTATTTAGATGAATATTTTAATATTTAGATAAATATTGAAATTACAATATCTTTATCTTGTACAATAATAAAGTATTTTATTAAAATTATTGCTTTTATAGGAATAAGATTTTAATAATGTATCTTATTATTTATATATATAACTAGTTTTCGTATTTAAATAAAAAATAGTTTACAATAAAATAGAAATAGAAATTTAATAATCGAGTTAATCAATTAAAATTTAATTTCAGAAAATAATTTATATAATAAAATCTGCATTAAAGATTCATATAATTATCACATTTTTTTAAACATAAACAATAAATCTAATTATCAATTTTCTACTACTATTAATAAAATTTTATTATTTTTTTTTATAAATTTTATTTTCAAGTACTAAAAATATCATAATATAAATTATATAAATTTAAATAAATATAATATTGATTTACGATTAAAAAAATAATTGTAAAAACAATAAAATTTTTAATATTTTTTATCTTTCTAACAATTTGATATTATATGATTCTGTTCAATTATGATAAGTAGAATTATTTTTTTATGGTGAAGAATCTATGGCAAATTTACTTTCAATATATAATGCAAATACAATATAAACTTTAAAAGTCTTATGTCTTAAGTCTTAAGTCTTAAATCTTTTTTATTAATATTAAAATTTTAAGAAAATGCTTTATAATATTGCTCTTCTTATTTATACTAACTTATTAATTAAAATTAATTAATTTATTTAACAAAATATTTGATTCTATTATTATTTAATAATAAAATAATATGCAAACGAAAAAGATAATTAATAGATAAAGATTTTTTTCTATTGTTATTTCAATACATCACTTTTAGATTTCTTAGAGAAAATAAATGTTTCTTTTTCCATTTATTTCATTTCTAATTTCCAATATATTATTTTTGAAAGTATAATTTAATTAATTTCTTATTATTAGAAATTTTTGAAAGTTGAATGTTAAAATAATCTCACAAAATAATGAAAATAAAAAAAAGAAAACTGCTATGTGTTTCAAAAACCATTTGTGCTTTTTTGTGCTTCGTTGTTTTCTTATCGAATATTGTTATTTGAATATTTTGCATACTCAATATGCATCATACATTGTATACTTTTATTTAATATATTTTATCAAATTTTTTTACAAGGAGCATGTATTATATAATTGATACATCACAACAACTTGATTATTTATCATATGGCACACTAATAAAGCAAACTTAAAATTGGTTCTATTTTTTTGAAAAAAAATAATATTTTTATTCTTAAAATAATATATTGGCTCGCAAAAGAATTTGAATATTGTTTTACAGAGAAATTTATCTAATCTGAAAATTTTTATGTAAATGAAAATTTGTTTGTAAGACATAATAAATTAATGTAAAATAATTTTTTCATTGACAAGAAATCTTTTTAAAAGAAATGAAATCAATCTCTAAAGTTCCACTATGTTTTTATTTTAAATACAAATGGAAAATTTTTTTATAACAAGATAATAGAGAATTAAATTCTAAACATTTTGTAATTTAAAATTTTATTCTATTTTATACCGTTGTTATGTTTAAAAAAAGTTATGTTTAAAAAATGAAAAATATATGAAACTTAAAGATTGATTTTATTTCCATAAAATAATATTATTTATAATATTTCAATAAAAAAATAATTTCTTTATATATAACGCATAAATTTTTTACATTCGTAAAGTTTAATTAAAAATAAAAAATTGATTATTAACATTTTATTAAAAAAGTATTCAAATACTTTTTGTGAATTACTGCACTTTTTTCTATAATCTAAATGCATTTATAATGAAAAATATGTATTTTTCATATAATAAATAATAAATTTCTCATAGTATTATGCAATAAAAAAATATTCTTTTTCTTTTTAGGCAATACTTATCGCCTTGGTGCTCGGCAGTATCATCGTCGGGACTGTGATCGGTAACATTCTGGTTTGCGTCGCCGTATTCCTCGTTAGGAAGCTGCGAAGACCTTGCAACTATCTCTTGGTTAGCCTTGCAGTTAGCGATCTCTGCGTCGCTCTTCTGGTAATGCCGATGGCGTTGCTCTACGAGATTTCCGGTAATTGGTCCTTCGGTGCAATTATGTGCGACCTTTGGGTTAGCTTCGACGTACTCAGTTGCACGGCCAGCATTCTGAATCTCTGCATGATCTCTGTGGACCGGTGAGTAGTCTTCATCCAGAAATTTTCTACGAAAATTGAGTTTTGAGAATGATCGTGACTTCGATAAAGTAAATTAGGTGTTTTAATTGAAAAATCAAATTTCAAATTATTATAATTAATGAAATTAATGGATCGTTTGATGTGATTATAATAGTTTTTTTTAATTTCATAAATATTAATGTTATGTGATACATAATTATATAAATATATTAAAAGAAATAAAATACATTCTTGAATTTTTTTTTTTTTCTCATTCTTTCTAATTTATTTCCGTAAATGTTAAGTTTGTATCCATAAAATAGATATTATTGGACTTTTTATATTATTATATTTATTATATTATTAATTATTTTCATTTATTTGTTATTTTCAATCTATTAAAATTTTAAATTCATGAAAAAAATTCGTTGTTACGAAGAAAAGATAATTAAAATATTAAAAATTTTTAATATTATCATTTTTATACGTATTTTATATATATATTATTAATATTAATATATATATATATATATTCGAATATAATTTATTCTAATTTGTTACAATATAATATTGAAANAAAATAAAAATAAAATTATTTAAAAAGATTATAATTAACTATTTGATAGTAATTAATATGTTTTCCACAAAATTATTTATTTGTAATTTATTTGTTTCTTACTATAATAGTATCAAAATATAACAAGAATTTATAAATTATTTTTCTTTTGTTTTTATTATTATAGAATTTTATTTTGAATAATAATTTTAAAAATTATTATAAAATTGATATTTTCTTTTTTTTCTTTTTTTTATAAAAATATTTAAGAATTTTTATATAATCGAATTACTTCGAAAATGCTTCACGAAAAAAAGTACAGAATTCTGATCTAGAATTATATTTCAGAAAAATACAGTAAAAAGTATTGTTTAATCGTATAAACGATCATTTTGAAGAACGAAAAACTAGTCTACAAGTTTCTGCTTCCAAGTATCATATTCTAATGCAGAGTTTCATTGAACCAGAAATGCAGAGAATAAACAATTCCATGACATATATTTTTTTTACACTTGATACATATTTATGTATGAGCTTGTAATAATGCACGAGGAAAAATTACACGAAGACAAATAAATAGAACATAGGAATTTACAGTAAAAAAAATGAAAATTGTATAGTTATTTTTTAATAATAAAATAAATTTATTTCTAATTTTTCACATAATTTTTCACAATGCGCAAATAATAATTTCTATAAAATTAATTTTAAAGTGACACGCGAGCTTTGAATTTTTGTTTGTTTTTTAAACATATTTTTAAATTATATATATTTTTTTACTTTTTAACACTTATCTTTATTAATATTTATTAATATATTAATTATACTTCTTTTCAAATTAAACAAATATTGATAAACAAATTTAATAATATTTTAAAATAAATATATAAAATGATTCATTATAAATGAACAAATTAAGAATACTTATACGATGATATTTTATAATTGATTCAATAAGAATTATGAACATTTTTGATCATATGCAAATATTAATGAAATCTTAAATTTGAAATCATTACTAAACTTAATATTTAATTAATTATATATTAAAAATCATAAGAATTTGAAGAAGTATAATTTTTTTATAATAAATATAATTATTAACTGGTAAAAACGATTTTTATTGAATTTTTTTAAATTTTCATTTTTCGTATTTTTGTCAAATTTATACTTATATATCATATTTATATAACTTTTATTGTTAGTTTTAGTGATTATCTATTGGAACCGAGTATAACTTGAATTTATATCAAAGTAAAACATAACTACAAGTGAACATTATCTCCGTTTTGCGATTGTTTACATAAAATATGATATCTGATATTTTTTAAATAATGTCTAAATAAATATTTATAAAAATAATAAATAATGAAGCATAAACAATAATAAATAATAAACAAATTTTTAAATAAATTCTCAATATATAAATAGAAATAATATTTTATTCTTCTCTTAATAAACAATTTATTCAATTATAGAATTCATTGTGACTAACTAAAACTTAAAAAAAAATATCGTTCATAAGAAATTTTTAGACTTTATATAGTTTTGTGGATGAATCACTAACAGCAATATTAAATATCATAATATTCATACATGATCAAAAAATATAATATATATAAAAATGGTCATTATCTTTTATTCCAAATTTCTTCATTCAAGAAATAAACATTATTTATTACAATGTTTATTAAAATGTTTTGTTAAAAATTAATAAATAAATAATATTTAATTTTTAAATAATTTACGATATTTCAAAAAATATTTTTTTTATTAATGCAAATTTTAAATATGAAATGCAAATTTAAATATTATTATAAAAAGTTTTGTTTAATATTAGAATTCATAAAAAGAAAAAGGAATTTTATTATTTATTATTAAAGGAATTATATTATTAATTTTATGTTTTATTCCACCCTAATATATATCTTACATTTATTTCACTTCATCAAAGTGAATATCATTGAAAACATTGCGAACACTGGTTTATCTTGCTGACATAGATTCTGTGCCATAACGAAGCCGTTGAAATACGGGGTGAAAAGAACGCCACGAAGAATGATCGTCTACGTCAGCCTTGTTTGGCTAGGGGCAGCTTGCATTAGTCTGCCACCATTGTTGATTATGGGAAATGAACACACTTATTCTGAGACTGGGCCATCCCATTGCGTTGTCTGCCAGAATTTCTTCTACCAGATTTACGCCACGCTTGGGAGCTTCTATATACCTTTATTCGTGATGATTCAGGTAAGATATCGTCTACTTTACATCTATATGGCTATACTTAGTAAAAGTGGATACAATTTATGAAAATATCTCGGTATATTTTAGTTGTTTACAGTTAGAGATTATTTTAATTATAAATTACATTATTTTGTTGTTTTAATTATTTATGATTTATTCTAGATCTTGATATATAAAAAATAGTTTATAATTAAGTTACAAGTATTTGTACATTTTCTTAAAAATTTATTTAAGCCAAAAATCTTGATTTAATGAAAATTCATATAATGAATGTTATTTTTTTTAAATTTCTTACTTATTATTTTTTTTATTTTCTTATTTTGTTACTTCTATAATTTTATTATTTTCCCACTTTGTTAGTTGATTATTTATTTATTAATCATCTTTAAATTTATATATTTATATATTTTGATTAACTTTTTTTTAGTAAATTATTACTTACAATTATTATTACTTTTCTTATAATAGATATTATTATTAATTTTTTTGTTCATCTTTGTTATTTTATTTCTCTTCTTTTTTATTTTATTATTTTTAATAAAGAATAAATTTTTGGATAAATTCCCATTTAAATATTCTCATTTAATTTTAATTATATATATCAATATCTACAAAACTTTCTCATTCGACATAATAACTTAATGAATTAAAAATGACATAAGAGTGCACATTAATCACAACGCTTAGCAAAATTTGATTTTTTTACCAATGTTTAAGTCATTAATAATTTAAAGCAATAAAAATATTTATTTTTTGGTAAAAATTTAATTATATTTTGAATTGTTCTTTAATGTTCCTCTATTCTTTAATGTTTTGCATGAAAAATATTAATATTTATATTAATATGTTTACTTTATTATAATATGTATTGTTCTTACTTTAATTAATTGCCAATTGATTATCGCAAAACACTTTCGTTGAATTACTTGTATATCTTTGAATTTTATGAAATTTTAAAGTTTTTTTATATATTTTTTTGTATATATTTTATATTTCTTTAATTATTTCGAAAAACGTCATATATTTCGCTTCCATAGCATTTGAAAACATTATTAATTTTTGTTTCTTTGATATTCATCATTAATTGATCCATTTGTTATTATAATGATGTTTATATATGAATGATAATTTTAATAAATTTGATCTCTGAAATTTTAAACAAATGTATCAATCTTCACAAATGTATTCACAAATGGATTTATAAATATATATTTGTTATTTCATATATGTATACTATTCCATATTTCATCGTATATTTAACATACCATAAAACATGTTTCGCTAATTTTAGCTATTCCTGTGAATTGACTGTGAAAACTAAATCTAATTGTTTGTAAGATATATTATTTTATCTATGAATTATCTATATAGTTTGTTCTTTATTATTTCTTTTTTTTTTATTATTTAAAACATTAAGATATATATTTTCTTTTAATTTAAAAGTCTTGTATTTTAATTTTTTTATAAATTTGTTTTTATTTATTTTTATAATATTTTTAATTTTTCATTCCAAATTTTTTTATTAAGCTTTTTATATAATTTTTCTAATTTGATTTCATGAATCCTATTAATCTATTTCTTTTGAAGTTTTGATTCCTAATGTATTGTCAATTAATTCTACATTTTTCATTTTAAATTTGTTTTGCAATATCTTTTCAATTCCATTTAATGTTTTTATGTTTTAATAATATTATTAATAAGCCATCAATTTATATAAATGTGATTATTTTTTCATTTTTTTCTTTTTATATATGAACGCAAAATGCATATTTGTTTACATTTCATAGATATTATTGTTATTCGTTGTTTTCTAACTATCATTTTCTAACTATTTTTAAAATAATTACAATGATTTATTTAATAAACAAGCTTTATTTTTATATTCTTCATCCAAATAATTAATTGTTCCATGTAAAACTGTTTCGACTTTTTTTATATAAATAATATAGCATAATTATATTCATTTAATGAATGTATAATTTTTCTTCCACACATATAATTAAAAATACTCGAAATAATCATTTTAATTTTTTGCAGAAATGCAAAGATTTTATCCCCTTCGTTGTTTGTATCTATATATAATTAACTTTATCGTGCATCTTTCTATGCTTATCTTGTTTATGTTTAATTTTCTCATTTCATGTATACAGTTTTTTTATTTTTATAACTGTCTACCAACTTTCAAGTTTCACTTTCAATAAAAAAAACTTCATATTCAAATTCCATGACGACTAATTATAAATTTTATTTTTTCATTTTAATATTTATTTTATCTTTATTAATATAAGTGTTTAATATCGTTTTCTAGATTTGCAATAATATGAAATAATTTTCTAGATTTAGTTTATCTCTCTCTTTTGAATTCTTGATCTTTTTTTAATTTCTTTTGTCGATGTATTCTCTGATTATATTATCTTGATCATCCAACTCCGAATTTTTTTGTTCTGGATCATATATTTTATTCTGTTCTTGTTTCTATTACTTTTTTTTATTTTTTAGAATCATTAGTTGTTTGTTCGTATAGCTTATTAAATTTTATATTACGCTTTTAATTGATACTTTATATTGATGCTTTGTATTTTTAATTCTTCAAAAAGAACAAATATCTTTTTGTTTTTAAAAAAAATATCTCTTAGTTTAATTTAATATTAGTTTTGATTCCCGAGCTCCATAAATGATATGTTTTAAATTCTTGAGAATAATATTAATAATATTAATATGTATAATTCTTTAAAATAATCTATTAATATAATTATAATAATTTACTATATTTAATTTCTTTTCTTGAAAATTTACTCGGCCCTATTTTCATTTATTTAATAATTCGTAGTTTTATACTAAAAATTTAAATAAAAAAATGCGAAAATATGTAGTAATAGAAATCATTTTATAAAACCGATTTATAATAAGAAAAAAAGAATAACTCTAAAAATTTATAGAGATTATAATACAAGCATAAAGTATTCGACAATAAATATATCATATTTATATATGAAAGTTTCATTTTTAAACAGAATTTAATAATTGTTTTCTAAATAAAAAAAATTTTAAACTTTTTTAAAATTTTTATTTATATGCAGCATTATTTAACACTAGATTTACAGAACCGGTCAATTTGACGAGTTTTCGATTTTATGCTTAAAAATTCTGAATATGCAAATATTATTTTTTAAATATTATATACTGATTTTTAATGATATAATGCAGCAAATATATATTTCTATTCATTTTCTCTGGAACATTTATATTTTATTATTTGTAGATATTATATATCTATTTTTACAAAAATCCGTCAATTTGACGGGTTAATTTATATTTTAATTATTGCGAAATAATAAAATTGAAATAATAATGAATAAGAAAAACCCAATAATTCAAATAACATCAAGCAAATGACGATTATTTAACAATAAATACATAATTAAATAAGTTATTTATAATTTTGATATGATAACAAATCTCTTCAATGAATTTTGCAGAGAAAAGAAATGATTTTTATAAGTGAGTCTTATTATTTTATATAAAACAAATAGATTTATGAGAAATTTCAATAGTACGTTTTGTAAAAAAAAAAAAAATTAAATGCTATTTAGAAGCTTAGCAAAAATTTATTTTTGTAAGTGAAAATTTGAATTTTTCAAGATATTTTCAAAAGCTACCCAAAAAATTTATTTTTTTATGTTTATATTATTATGGGAAAATCTTCAAAAGACATGGAATTGATAAAAAGAATAATAAAAAGAATAACCAGCATAAATAAAGATTAATTTGGATCGGATTCTGATATAACCGAATTATGCGAAAGCGAAGAAGAATTTGACAATATAAACGAAAATGAAGATTTTAATGACAATAGGAATGAAAATTATCACAATATATATCATAAAATAAAAATAATGCATATTATTTAAGATATTGAAAGCGAAAGTGAAATAAAAGATACTGATAATGAAGAAAATACTGTGAAAGCAGGATTTCATAGATAGCCTCTTCTTGTGTTTTATAATTGTTTTTGAATTTGATAGCCATCAATACCTGGATTATTATACAAAGAGACTACTGAAATAAACAAAATTTGAAAGAATTTTCTTTTTCAATTAGCTGAAGAATTGGATGATGACCAACGAAATGTACAAACGTTTCTCGAACGTAATTTTTCGTGACGAACAAACTTGCTTCTATTCAGTATTTGGAGTCTAACTATATTTGCATTAAACCTAACAAATATGTATGCAGGAAATATACATCCAAGATAAAGTTTATATGTAAAAAATATATTGAAGACAACAGTAAATAAAAATCTATGGATTTTAAATAAATAATTTATAAAAAAATTTCATTTTAATATACCCGCCAAAAAGACGGATTTCAGTAAAAAAATGTATATAGTCAATATCCGTAAATCTAGTATTAATAAAAAAATATTTCAAATGTTTCGTAACTATTCTGAAAAATAGAAAATTTTTAATAAATAAATTTAATGATCACATAAAAATCACATCATTTACTGAATAGATATTATAAAAACAAGCGAGTTCCAGTTTCATCATATTTAAAAATGCTAATGTTCAAATTATAATTGAAGAAATTCTCTATGCCATTCTCAATACATTATCTACATATTAGTACTGAGAAATTCAGAGATTAAATCATAGATTTTTTTAAAACGTTTTTAATTAGAAGTCTAAAATGGAGTCTATCTTAGGAACTTGAGAAGTTCATTCCTAAATTCGAATTTAAAAGCGTTCTGGATTCTCAAGGCGATTCTAATTTCAATTATTCTTCGAAAAAATCGGAAAGATTTAAGATTAAGAGGAATAATTTACAAAGGATTTAACGTATCTAACTTTGCACAATCACATTTCGTTGATTAAACTTTCTTGTTTTTATTTTAAAAAATAATAAACAAGATAATAATCAATAATAATTGTTAAATAACCTTTGGCGATATATAGTTCAGGATATGGCATTTTTGTTTCAAGAAATCATAACAAATTGACAAA